TAGTAGAATTTGAAGAACAAGTCATGACTAAGTTAGGAATGTACGCCTGGTTGATTTTCTCATCTTCTCAGGGATAATTTTTTTCAAAGAAATGCGGTCACTTTCGTGGATAAAGCACCTTATTCCGAAACCTAAAATTCGAACTAATTCCCAACAAACATAAAAACAAAACAAATGAGCGAATAGAGCAGAAGAAGTGCTCACAAAAGGAACACCACTTGATATAAAACAATGCGTTTACGAGGAACAATTTCAATTTGAAAATTGCTATGGCTTATCGGTCAGCCAATTCGAAAAGAAACACGGCAAAGCTTTTTCGGCAACCTAAGGGTGGAATGTTTAGAAGAGGTCATGAGTAAGTAGAGGGTACATCATTGATTGATTTCTCCCAAGGGAAAATAAAGTTAGAGCTAGTTGTCGGTTTGGTCAATTTTTGTCGGCTGGACCTCCCATTTCGCAGGCCTAAAATTTGAAAACCCTGAACAAGGTGGAAGAAACATAGCATCTTGTAGAGCAGACAATTCTCTTTCGAATGGTATATGTGATGTAAAAGCATGGGGATTTAGATGAAAATTTTGGTTGAAAAAAAGCGACACTATTTATGAGACAACCTAATACATCAAATGGTCACCTTACTATTATTCTCTTGTTGGATGGGGTCCTTACATATTTAGCCCCTCGGTGTCCGGATTCTTTCTCAGGCAATTGCTCTGATCTCGACTTGACTTGTTGAAATCAATTCTTCCGCCTTATTTGATCATGAAACAAGCTAACAGTCAAACGGAAATGTCATTACCGTCAGGCAGGCAGAGTTTCTTCTTTGGAGATATTAGATGTTAATAGAATACCAATTCCATTGAAAAGAAGGCTCATACTAATAGCAAAAATGAAAATTGCGTGGATTCTCGCCTTTTATATCAATCTCTCCTCTTTTAAGTTTTGAGAATGTCAGGCGATGTCACTGAAATTTCATCAAACATTCAGTAGTAACAACTTTCCTTTGTTTCTAAATGTGTCTGGAGCACTCTAGTCAAAGGCATTTTGTGCATTTCGAGATTTTACAGAGCTACAAAATAAGATTTTGCCCTGTGTTACCGGCGCTTTGCATGCAAAAAACGCCTCGTCCCATGCGCGCGACAAGGCAAATACGCTTGTCGTCAACGTGTCAAAAGAATCTACCCGGAAAGTCCTGCATTGTTTCTCAACATGCGTATGTCAGTTGTGATGGCACTATTGAGCTATTACAACCCCAGAGGGGGTGAGATGGATTCCCAAACACGCGTATAGTCAGTTTGATCACTTTAGAAAAACATAACGAGGTTTTACGCTTGAAAAATTCACTTTCTCGAGAGGAACAAATTACAATAAGCTACACTCATGGAATAATTGCAAGGTAAGAGTGGTGCGGTAGCCAAAAGCGGGGCATTAGAATGAAGCTCTTGCTAGGGAGCGAGCACAGCTATTCAGGCGACGCTTTGATAAGAATCGGGTTTTAAGCGTGCGATTTTGGGGCGAGAGGAGAGATAAATGATCGAATTGAATAGTGTTGAAGTAGACGCTGCAGCAAGATGTAATTGCAATGCAGTCAATAAGCTCAAAAAAAGTTTTAGAGACAGCACTCCGTGGAACTCAATGGAAGACCCGCCGCAGCGTCATGCTGACAGAAGTATGTCACGTTGCTTAATTAGAACGGTAGCAGCTCTTCGCGTTTTCAAATTTTTTACATACAAACAAATGCAACTTTTTTGTCTCTTTCGTTCTTAAATCGTAAACGGATTGGTTCCTAGCCACTGAATTATGAGAGAGTATTAAGAATTCACGATTTTCAAGAAGGATTCCTTCAATATATTGAACATCAAAGCTAACAACAATATGCCAAATTTAGGGCAATTGACTGATACCACATTTTATTCAAGTGGGCAAATTCCGTCGAAAAACATTTGGAAGTCGGAGATGCGGCTCGCTTTCTTGTTTTCCAAGTGCCTGAAGCGAGCGGCTACTAAAGCGTTGAAAGGGCGATATGTGGGACAGATTTAGCGAATGTGGCGGATGGGCAGCTGCGGTGTGGTTTAGTGCGTGAGATCAAAATTGCGAGCGGACGCGCGTTGTTGTAAGGCAGATTTAAGTTGTCGCTATTTTCCTTAAAATTTCCCAAATCGTTCCGAGCAGCTAGCTTGGGTACCGCTTGTTATCGTCGATCTTGCAGACAGAATAATCATTTTGGATTAATGCGTTTAGTTCCGAACAACGACTCAGGGCAGATCCACTTTGGCAGTAGCCACTTCCCGCAGCCTATTGTCGTTGCTGTGCGACGAGAGGTATGTGTGAATGATGTCCACCCGGCGAAACCGTGTGGTACACATTGACCATATTTCTAAAATTCGCCGTATTCCTATAGAGTCTAGAGGACGTGCGTGTGGAAGCGCTGAGACGAAAGGCGCTCTGCCAGATAGTGCGACGTTTACCTCAAACCATCCTCGACTACAGTGCGGACGACGTCAAGATGGCCAGTAGTCTTGCATGCGTCGAAGCGATCAGTTTCTTTGTGGAGCGTTTGAGCTATTGAGCCTCTTCGTGAGAGATCGCCCTGGTCTATAACGGGACTGATTCTGAGCGCCTCTTGTGGGCCGATCTCCAGGCGAAATTCGCACAGGATGAGCGCTAGGATGGTTAGTGCAATGCGAACGCCATTATTGGAAAAGCTGATTTGAGCACCGTACGTAGCACAGTCCGCTCCTTTTATATACCACCCATGGAAAGATTCCAGAGCATTCGAACAAAATCCAGAAATGCGCGATACTAAGTGTTCTAAAACTTTCCTTGCATCTGATACTTGAAGAGGCATTCACTCATGGTTCCTGGATTGGGTGCTACGTTGGAGCATTCTCCTTTTTCAACAGGAAGAGATTTTCTAAAAAAAAGCGTCTGGTGATAACTCAGGTGTCAGGTAACTCACCTCCTGAACCTCAACAAGGCCCCTAAAAGCGTTGCAACAAAATAAATGAAATAAGGTGTATGCTTCAGGTGATGTGCTTCGCGGTCATCGTTTCAATATTGGCGTCGACATCGGTAGCCTCATTCCACGTGATCGTGGTGTTCAAGTGATAGCCAATATCAACGGGAGAAATTTAATGGTACCTATGAGGCGTTCAGGACCAACATCGTCAAGCGGGTTATTTGTGACTCATGATATTGGGAAAGTCAATCTTAGGGTAAGTTAACATTGAGAACATGAGCGTTACCGAGTAAGTGTTGCACGCGATTCCTGAATTCAGGTGCTTTTCGACAATGTGGTCGTGAAGGAGGCCGACATAAATGTAAGACCTGGTCACGATGCTTCTAAATGTAGTGCCAGTGGTGACGGTCTGAGAAGAGCGGTTGTCGGCAATCCGGCAAAGTTCGATATCAACGTGCAGGTTAGTTTTAACAAGTTGATGAGTGTAAATAAGGTGCATCAGTCCTAAGCTGACGTTCACTCTCATGTTTGATGGGTTTTATTGTTGAATGGGAGTTGTGAACTGCAGTCCTCCCACCTCCTCCTGACTTCAGCTGGCTTCCTCAGGATGGCACCGTTACTGCTCTTCACGCTCTTCACCACCCTGATGTCTTGGGTAGCCCGATGCCGGGCTTTGGCCAGTCTGAAGACGAACTTCTCTGCGTTTCTGCTTTCCAACTTCTCGTACAAGGCGTCCATTTCCGTGTTCTTCGCCTTGGCGACGGCAGCCTTAGCGAGCCTCTTGCAACTCTTGTAGGCAGCGAGGTCCTCGGGGCTCCGGGTCTTCTGCCAGCGCTTGTATGCTTCCTTCTTCTGCTTCACGACTCGCTGGACCTCCTCGTTCCA